TGAGGATTCTGCAGCAGCTTCGTGTAAGTGAAGCGCGGAGGGTTTGAATGGAGGAAATCTGACAAGGGATGTTACGCTCAGTCCAGCAGCTTTAAGGGCCGGGACTTTCTTTTGATCTGAAAATCAATTGATTCTCCATTGCCCTTGCATTGTCAATTTCTGCTCTTAGTATCCTCTCGCCTGCAAGCACAGCTCTGGGGGAGCTGGCAAGGGGGCAGCTGAGGAGAGAGGTGATTTGGGCCTGGGGGTAGCACATTAGCTGGGTGTTTCTGTTAAAGTGATCAGAGTGAATTATGGACTTTGTGGACTTTAACTGGTGATCTTTGGGTTTGCAGAATCAATGCAGGTGAATGGGGCCAGTCCCACATCCCTCTGACCTATTGTTTCAGGCTGGCTGCAGACTCAGGCAGACCTCTCTCTTCAGGTTTTCAAGGTTTCCTTTGCAATCAAGAGCCGAAAGATAGTGTCTTACATCCCAGTTCTGACTGCGACAGACAAGGAGCTCGAATCCCTGCGGTTCCCTGCTGGGGCTTCCCTGGGGGTGCTGCGGGCAGGGCGGGCAGGGGATGACAGGCCTTGCCAGCTCACTGCAGGAATGCAGTTTAGCTGCCTTTCCTGCGGGGACAATCAGTGTGCCTGCCGGGCGCCGGGATCACCCACTGCGAGGTGTATGCAGCACGCAGGGATAGGGGAACCCCTCGGGATCTCACCCGCTCTCCCTTGGGTCCAGCAGGTCCTGGGCCTCCTTTGCCTCCCTTGGTACCAGGGCTCCCAGGGGCTCCGTTGTTTCCTTTAGGTCCCTTTGCAAAGAAAGGAAATAATCAGAGTGTGTTTGATGAGAGCAGGCAGGCCAGACAGCAGGGGTCACTCCACCCACACATCCCCCAGCCACACCCCTCCCCACCCAGCCACCCACACCAAACACTCCAGCCTCAGCACAGCGCGGTGCAGGGGGATTGGGCTCCTAGGGGCTTGGCTCCCCCTCCTGCCAGACACCCCTGTCCCTGCCCCTGATCAGGGAGCCCAGGGACTGTGACTGGCCACTGGGAAGGAGCTCCTGGCCCTTTGCCCCCCCAGCCCAGGCACCCCCGAGTGCTTTCCTGGAGGAACACTGAGGCACTGACCCCTGAGTGAGGGGGCAGGACCTCTGCTACTGCTGTGAGCTGTTAGTCCCTACGGTTTGCTTTTGTGATGCAAAAGCTCCTGCCACAGCTGCCAGTGCCCACCAATGGTGAGCAGTGGGGTTACTGCTGGGAAGGCTGCATCGGGGCCCAGCACACACAAGGAAGGGCTGAGAATGAGGAGGACAGATGCAAAGCAAGGGATTTTCTGGAGAGGCAGAGCCTGCGTGGTCCCCTGTGCCAGGAAGCAGAGGTTCTAGCCCCCCCGCCCCCCACGCATGCCTGGCCACAGGGGTGCCGCCCCCCCCCCCCCCCCCGGCCATGCCCCTGGCCGCAGGCACTCTTTGGAATCCCCACCACTCCCAGCTGTAACTTCCACTTCTTTTGTCTAGTGGTTGTGCAGCACAGAACCGATTTCCCTTTCCACTACAGCAGCACTGCTACCATATCTCCCAGTGACTCTATTAGCCACTGCCACTGCGTCTGCTCCAAGCCACCCGGTGAACTGCAGGAGGCGTCTCCTTCAGTGTCACCTGGGGCACTGGCAGGCGTGCGCACGTCCCCTGCTTGTTACAGCAATGGTAGGGCTCACACCTGCCATCAGGCAGATATCAGCTCCCAGAGTGGCTGGGCCATGGCCCGTGTGTTTGAGCTGCCGGCATGGCAGCCTTGCTGTATGCTGCAGTTGCCCCATGACCACTGGGTCTGTGAATATTTTTATCTGTGGCCCCAGGGTATCACAAATGGGTTCCAGAGGGAGGGGCCTGCTCCCAGCATGGCAGGGAACCTACCCTGTTTCCTTTTTCTCCTGGGGATCCCTGGGGTCCGTTGCTGCCGGGGCGGCCAGGATCTCCCTGAAACAGCAAGAGAACAATGGTCACGAGCGACCAACTCGGTGTGCTCACACAAAAGCCTCAGTCAGGGCATCTGTTCTGACCAGTTAATCGCTTTAAACAATGATCAGCACAGGGATCAACATTTGGGGAAAGAGATTATATGCTCTGCATATGGAGAATATGTCGCAAGTATAATTACTGACGCATTACAATGCTTAAGACTGGGAAAAGTTCCTGACCTAATTAAAGATGAGCAATTGTTAAATTGGTACTGTCCCAAGTGGTTTCAAAAGCTGGAAAAGGAATGGTCCACTTGTTTGGAGTCGTGCCAGCTTTTGTCAGTGGGTGCTATGAGAGAGATGGGATCTGTGACACCTCACCCCAACCGTGACAGTTGTTCTCTTTCGAAAGATTGTATGATGACACGATCCTTGTATGTCTCATTCACGGTCTCGTTACCAGTGTTTGACCCAGACAAGGATGTGTACAGGCAATTGGTTGCTGTCCATTCTATAGGTCACCTCGAAGACGACATCTATAGGGAACGCATTAATGCGCCTCCCCTCGTGGTCTCTCACACTCCAACTCAGACGTGGAAAGTGCCACAGATGGCCTGTTGTTCTGAGAAAGGGCCTCAGTATATCTGTAGGTGTAACGTGTTTGAAACAGACACTGTTTTGTGTGGACTACAGGGAGAGAAAATACAGAATTCATCATTGTCATGTCTGGTGAGGCTGACTAAGTGGAAGACTCCGACGGAGAGGGTGACCTATGCTGGAAGTAACCAATTTTGCATGGTTACCAACCAAAAGAGGTACCAATATGGTCCCTTGGAGTGTCCTGTCACAGAGCCAAATTTTTGTTTTACTCCAAAGTAACCCACTTTAATAGGAAATCAAGCTATTTCCCCTATTCCCACTTTTGAGAACATCACCATTATTCAGTCCGACCCAGCCTATCAGGATTTAACTATCCAAAGCACACCCACCTTTCTTGTCTACATTCCCCCATTAGGGTTACAGCTAAAATCATTAATGGCTCGTAAGGAGACTCACCTCATCCAAATTACTAACGATATGGACAAAGCCCAACAAGTTATTACCCGATTAATGAATGAAAGTAATGAGCCTGCAACAACTCCCAGGGAAAATTTTGGATTAAAAGAATGGGTGGTTTATCCAAGGAATTGCAATTGGAATTAATTTCCTTATTTTAGGTTGCCTGCAGTATAAATCCAACAAACCCAAGCCAAAACCTAGACAGACACCTAGACAGGCACCACGTGGTGAGGAACATGAATATGTATACATGGTGCCCGTTCTAGATACATACCAAAATCTGCCCAGGTATGAAACTGGTGTTGAAACTGTCCCCACAGATACTAAATCCTATCTATGTGACGGGGTTCATTGGTGCAAACCACCCCGTCAAAGGGGGCGTGTAGCCCTAAGGATTAATCTGCTTGCTTGCATAGGTCTATCTTTTCTTATAAGTTTATGTATTTGATGTATTGTAATAGGTTTATAGATTTATATTAAAAATAAGTTTTGCTGAAATGCAAGAGACCTACAGGCCAAAAACCTGTATGTTAAGCTAAGGCAAAGTTAGCATATTTATATCGGGACCTTTTACCCAGAAAAGTAAAGTTGGCCTACATTTATTACCCAAATAGACAAAAAGCACCCCCGCCTATGTCTAAGACCTTTCCCTAGACCAATAGACAATGAAGGATGGCAGAGGGGATTTTTCAAAGTTGTACCCACAGACGTAACCAGTACACCACAAGTGCGCACGTACGCACATCCATACTAGCCTATGGGGTAAGTGCACCCTAACATTTCTGTGGGGGAGGAATGAAATTTGGGCATAAGAGGAAGGATTTCCGGCATTTATGCCTATAAAAAGGCGATCCACCTCGCTATTGGGGTCGATCTATCTATCTATCTACTCTTCATTGTCTCCATCTTCAACTACGTATCGATGCTCCCCATCTACGACGGCTATTAACTATTAATAGGCCGTACTTAGTTTCTTTTCAAACTTTAAGTTTTAAGGGGACTCGGCTAAGCTTGGTTTCCCTGAAGCTTTATTTTCCATTTAGTTTTTATTTAGTTAAGTTAGAGAGTAAACAGCTTTGACAGCTCTTCGCATTAGTTTCCTCTGCACACCCCTGCAAGAGGTGTGAAATCGGAACCGCCAGAGGCGAGGTCCTGCGTCTTCCAACACCAGGTTAGCAAAACAGGGGGTGAGTATTAACCAAAGTTTGCCACACATAATATTGTATTACCATATGTATGTCTTAAATAACTGTGATACAATTATAATTTTGTAATTCTAACTGTTTTACCATTTACTTACTATTTCATTAATTTTAATAAAAAGTCTTTATGACTATATCTGCCTCAGTATGAGCTTCCTGTCATACCCCGAGGGTCCCTTTAGAAACTCTGTGAAGCTTGATTTGGGACAAGAATTTTATCTTCTGATCAAACAGATTGGCGAGCCACAAACCCATACTATTAATATTTGTAATTAATCATTATTAATATCATTAATTAAAATAATTACATAAAATTTAATTAAGTTGATAAATTAAATCAACATAATTAACACACCCCAAATCAGGCTACAGACCTGAGCTAGACCAGCTCAGAACAGGATGTGTGTGTGTGTGTGTTGTGTGTGTGTGTGTGGGGCGGGGTTCTTATAGCCTCACAGGGACACAGGCAGGACTCCAAACAAGCCACCTCCTCCTGTCCTCTCCAGCTCAGCTGGAGTCTCTCCCATGCGCCATCTAGTGGCTGTGTCACACAACTGCTGCAGCAGCGCAGCACTCTCCAACAGCCTTCGGAAACTCGGCATCAATTGCCACAGTTGTATTGCTGTGAACTCTGCGCTCACACACACGCAACCTCTTATTCTGACAGTTACCCAGAGGGCACAAACAAGGGCTGGGGGATCACAGGTGCCTTTCACAAGTCACCCCAGCGCACACAGGGTAAAGGAAGCAGTGAAACTGAGCAACACATTCTCAGGGGAAGTCTCCCACTTTCTCTGCATTTCCATTCCCCACAGGGCTGTGTCCACCGCGGGCGGAACTGGGCACTGCTCCGCAGATGGATACAGCTGTGGCCTGGGGATTTTAGCTCTCCCGCTTGGTGCTCTGTCCAGACTCTGCCACTCTGCTCTCTGGTTTGGAATTCACGTACCTTTACGCCTTCATCTCCTTTTTCTCCTTGATCTCCTGCATCTCCTGGGTAACCATCAGGGCCCTAGGGAGGGAAAGGACAAAGAACCGTCTGCCTGCAGTAATAACAGTGCGTCGCTCTCCACCAGATAAAACACCTCCCCTAGAAAATCACTTTGCAGTGAGAGCAGCTTCAGATACAAGAATGGCTTCAACTTGCAGCTAGTGGGAACAAAACAGAGGCCAGCTCTCATCACCTTGCTGCTCCCCTTGTGCGTCGGCAGGAGACCGTGGTGTGCGTTCCACACTGCGCTCTCGTGCACGGCCCAGCACTGGGCAGCGTGACAACTGGGCAGGGAGACTCACTGCTCGTGATGCAGGCTAAGCCTGCCCTGCGATGGTGAACCACACCTTGGCTGATTAAGCACAAGAAAACATTCCTACCTTGTCCCCAGGGTCTCCCTTACAGCCAGGGGATCCAATCCGTCCCAGACTGCCCTGCAGAGGTTACAACAGAAAGAGGGGAGAGAAAACCGGAGAGTCAGGGGGAAAGAATTAGGAGTTTCTGGTCTATCACAGTAAATAATTGAACCCCAAAGCTAATCACAAGGGTCTGGCACAAGGATGCCAGATAGAGAGGGACTGCAAATATCGACCTTCAACAAAAAAGGAGAGCACAGCCCTGGGCGTGTTGGTGAAACGCCTGGCAGGCAGCAGTGATGCCCTGCAGGTGGTGCAGGGAGGCAGCTTCAGCACCCTGGAGGGGGCACGGGAGAGATGCCCTGCCTATATATCAAGTCCCTTTTTCATGCTGGGCTCTGTGGGTGCTGAGGTCCCCGCAGTGCCCAGAGGAGGTGTAGAAGGGAGGGCTGAAGGCTGGTCTGTGGAAGGTGTTTTGGCAGGTACGGGAGAGGGACAGATCCTGCCCGCCCCCAGGAAAGAATTCTCTGATATTTTCTTGTATTTCACTTTCATCGATGGCAACAGCTTCTCTCCAGCCTCAGGCATCGGGAAACCCCATCAGTAAACGACCAGAACACCGGAGCTGGACTGGGCACGGCTTGTCCCTTGTGTGGCGTTACCTTCTGTCCATCGGTGCCGTTCCTTCCTGCGAAACCAGCTGCCCCCTGGGACCAAAGGAAAAGAAGTAATTAGCTTGCTAGAGACTCTCTGAGGCTCTAAGCTGGGATAGGTGCTGCATGAAAGGTGCCTTCTTACCTTCCGGCCGTCGCCTCCAAACTCGCCCTGCGGAGAAAGGGGACAATGCGTAGTCAGCTCTGGGTACACTGCACCGCTCACCCCTCCTAATGACGACTACTGTGTCCTAGCTGCCCCCTCCCCGCCCCTTTCTGCTCATGAAGTGTTTGCAAGCAGATCACCAAGTTCTCAGATTTGTTCGTTACGGGCAACGATTCAGTTACATCCTCGCAGCACCCCCTCCTCACTCCCGCAGGCACAGACATGGGGCAGTGTGTTGTCAATGCGCCACACCCTGGGCCAGATCCTCAGCTGGCGAAAACTGGCATATCTGCATTGACTTCCTGGGAACTACCCTGGCCTACACCAGCCCTGGTCTGGCCACGTGTTGCTTAGTTGCATAAATCACATGCTACTGTTTCTGCTCCCACCTAGGATGATTTATGTAATTTACCAACATACTTTGATTTCAAATACTACCTTTGAATCTACAATTCTGAGTTCACTGGCGATGAGTATTCAGTCGTGGGAGTCTGAAATGCACTTTCCATGTAGTAAAGGTAGCAAAGTTAAAGCACAGACGTGTGGGGGAGAGGCCACAAACATGGAGAGACGCCCACAGTCAAGTTCCACTATGAACAAAATCCTTGTAGAATATTCCTCCTCATTTTCCCAGCTACTGCTACTATTGTTCCCAGCCCCGTCTCTAAACATGCACCCGTGGAAATGCCCCACTGGCCCATTACACAGTGCTCAGAGACCAGCATCAGAGGCTCTTTCTTACCTTGTCTCCTTTCAGACCAGGAATACCCTAGGGCAAGAAAAAACACAAAAACCTTTCTGTTAGTGTCTGTGGGTGGGTGGAGGTGGGGGAAGCGAAGGGCTCTGGGCAGGCAGGCAGATGGACTCAGAGATGCAACTATTGCAGAAAGTAGGAGACGGCCAGCTAGAGTGAGGGAGAGACAGGCCGAGATCCCCAGCACTCCACACTGCTTGGTGCAAACACAGAACAGCAGTGTCTGGATCCTGACAGAGCTTTCAGCCTGTGGGTGCCATCAGACCCGGCCCCTTTGGACACGTGTTCATTCCCACCCAACGAACATGCAATGCCCTCCAGGAACATGGAGACTCTGCCTGTTTGATAATGATCTGCGCTGACAGGCAGTATCAATCTCCAGGCTGGTCCCTGCCATGCCCCTCCTCGGGGCTAACCTGCGGCACCACTCAAGCATCCCCTGGCGCAGTGGTGGGCGGGACGGACCTGACTGCTGAGTGGAATGGGGGCCAGGAGCATGTAACACTCCTGATGTGCTCCAGGCTGCCCTGGCTACTCATCCGCTTCCAGGTTCCATGCAGGGTGATTGTTCCCCCAAGCCCTTCCAAGGGCTTAGGGACCACCCACCTGCTCGAGCGCCCTCATGCGGCACGGAGCTGATGTGCAGTGGCTAGAGACCAGGCCTACCTGCAAAGGGCCCTGGCGGAGGAACGCTCTGCCTGCTTGCTGACCTGCAGGGGGCAGGGCAAGGGGCACCTGTCTGGCCAAGCAGCTACTTGCGGCTGCAGCCTCCCTGCATGTCTGAGGTGGGCTGCGGTAGCGCAAGGGCAGGGGCCATCTGTCCTGCCCACGGCAGACAGCCCACAGGAAGCCTTGTCATAACAATGTCTTGCACCCAGCTGTCACAATGCTGCAGGCCAAAATTCGGCTGAATAGATTCCCTTCAGCAAAAATCTCCTCTCTCGTGGACGGATCCAAAGTCCCGGGGAGACAAGTGACTGACTCTGGCAGGCTGTGGGGCAGGCCGTGTGCCCTCCCCCAGCCCCATGGCCTCGCAGCGGTGCTGTAAGTTGCGCACTAGACTGGCAGCTACGCAGCACACACGCCACGCGCACCACTGCTGAATCCGAACCAGAATGCAGGCAGACAGCTCAGCCACCGGCGCAGGATTCGTTACCTTGGGACCAGGGTATCCAATGGGACCTTCGATACCTGGGTCACCCTTAAAGAAAGAAGATATGGGAGTTAGTCCAAAGTCAGTCAGTTTCCAGCTGACCCAGCACGGTGCTGCTCGCCAGCAGGCGGAAGGGGGATTTGACACCACTCACCCGTCGCCCTTTGAGCCCAGGACCTCCTGGTTCACCCATGTTCCCCTTTGCACCCTGCAAATAAAGCACACAAAGAGCAGCGTGACTTTTCATTCGTGGTCAGCAGAGGGCACCACGTGCTGGCCCCTCTCCCGCAGCGGAGCGCAGCCCAGAGTGGAGTGGGCTGTGCTCAGCGCCGAGGAGTGCAGGAGATGGACGGACACACAATATGGACTCAGAGCTCTGCTTTGTGGGCAGGGGACTATGCAGCCCAGCTGAGCATGTGACAGCTGCCCGTCACTGAGTGTACTAGCCTAGGGCACTGGCTGGGGCTGCCCTGCCGTGCCCTGGGGAGAACAGTGTGCAGGGGGAGGGGCACTGCCCAGGCACCCCGGGAGTGGGGGAGGGGAAGACGAAAGGGGCATCTGGGGAGAGAGGAGAATCAGGGTCACCACGGGAGCCTGGCCTGGGGCAGCCTGTGGGGGTGGTTAGGAGTGAGCCTAGAGCCCGGGTGACAGGGGTGGTTACTGGGAGTGGGGAGGGGTCCCCAGTTCCTTTGGTCTCCAGCACAGCAAGAGTGGGGTGGTGCTGGGTTTGTGACGCCGCAGGGGACGGGTTTTCCTGCACCTCTCTCTGTTCCAGGCTGTGAATCAGCGTGAGCCAAGGAGAGCCCGGCTGCAGCTGTGGGGTTTGCAGCCTGCAGGTCAGCAAAGGCAATGACAGCTTGGGCTTGGCTGGTCGGTGTCATCGCCCAGTTCCCAAGCCCAGCAGTCTAAGGACTCACCCAGCACGGCCCCTCCTGCCCACCAGGTGTGTGTCACTCACCTTCTGCCCCCGGTAGCCCTTGGGCCCAGGCGGGCCTGCGATCTCCAGACAGCTCATCTTGTAGCACTGAAATAAACCAGATTAAACATGAGGCACGCGGCACGACGTGTGGGGAAAGCCAGGTGGAGAGCCAGGCCAGGATGACAGAGGTAATGGAAACAACTGGCAGCCTTTAGGGACCTTCAGAAGCCTCATTCTCAGTCCCCAGGAGCTGATCTCGCTGTGCCCACTGGCTCCCTAGCGAGAAGGCTGAGACTGCTGCTGCTCTGTGTATGGGCCCTGCCCTCTGCAGCCAGCCTGGAGTTTCAGGCCTGAATCATAGAATATCAGGGTTGGAAGGGACCTCAGGAGGTATCTAGTCCAACCCCCTGCTCAAAGCAGGACCAATTCCCAACTAAATCATCCCAGCCAGGGCTTTGTCAAGCCGGGCCTTAAAAACCTCTAAGGAAGGAGATTCCACCACCTCCCTAGGTAATCCATTCCAGGGCTTCACCACCCTCCTAGTGAAAAAGTTTTTCCTAATATCCAACCTAGACCTCCCCCATTGCAACTTGAGACCATTACTCCTTGTTCTGTCATCTGGTACCACTGAGAACAGTCTAGATCCATCCTCTTTGGAATCCCCTTTCAGGTAGTTGAAAGCAGCTATCAAATCCCATCTCATTCTTCTCTTCTGCAGACTAAACAATCCTAGTTCCCTCAGCCTCTCCTCGTAAGTCATGTGCTCTAGCCCCCTAATCATTTTTGTTGCCCTCCGCTGGACTCTTTCCAATTTTTCCACATCCTTCTTGTAGGGTGGGGCCCAAAACTGGACACAGTACTCCAGAAGAGGCCTCACCAATGTCGAATAGATGGGAATGATCACGTCTCTCGATCTGCTGGAAATGCCCCTACTTATACAGCCCAAAATGCCGTTAGCCTTCTTGGCAACAAGGGGCTGGGCTGGGCACACACTGAGTTTTGGCCTAGGCAGCACCCAGCCTGAGGGAACATTGAGGTTGGGATGCTGACACTGCCCAGTGTCAGTCTAGCTCCGCTCCCATAGGCCTTGGGGGAACACCCCCGTTTGCTCTGATGGGATCTCAGAGTGGGGCCACCAGGCAGCGTGGTGGAAAATCCCACCCTAGACTTCAGAAGGGGAACCGGCCAGGAGCCCCCACATCCTGGCCTGGCTGGGGGCAGCCCTGGGGAGCAGGGACTGTTAACGCTTAGCCTTAACGGCGCTCTGGCCTGGTTGGGTTTAAAGAGCATCTCTGTGCAGTTCTTATGCCCTTTGGGCCCTAGTGCATCTGAAGCTCTCCTGCACGTCTGTGTGGGCAGATAAACGGACAATGGGAGTATAGGTGAGGCTAGACACCAACTGAAACATTCGCTTCCCTCTGACGTACAGGATGCCGCCGAGACCCCTTTGCACATTTTTGCTCCTTTCTCCTCAGCAGGCCTGGGGACTAATCAACCAACGCTGGTGTCTATGGTCTGGGTCTGCTGCTGCCCTCCGCTCTGGGCAGTCAGGCAGGATAGTTGAGGCTATGGTCTCAGCCAGCTCTTCTCATGAAAAACTGCCACAAAGTGCCTGGGGCTTTTGCCTGAGGAAGGTGGGCAGGAAAACGCCAAGTTCTCCCCTAGAGGTCCAAGGTGACACTAAGTGAATTAATGGAGGGGCTGCACAGCCTGTGTTATTGGAACAAAGCTCTCCAAGTTGGGCCTCCATGTGCGCATGAGAGCTGGGCTGTCTCTACAGCATGAATGCAGCCACCGATTTGCTCCTGTAGGCCGAAGGGGTCTTTATAAGAGACCTAAAAGCCAGCTAAGGTACTTAAATACTATCCACACCCACAGAGCTGAGCCCCTCGAGAGTTTGATATTAAACAAGTTGAACAAATAAAGAAGCGAGAAAGATCTTGGTTCGCGTTGGCCTGGGCATTGAATCATTAAGTTCTTTCACTCCCCAAAGCAGTTCAATAAAACAAACCGTTACAGTGGAATAAATGGCCTCATGGGAGCAGTGCCTGCCTCTTCCATCTGATGGTGACTTTGCAGCCTCCAGGGCAGTGATGCAGGCTGCTAGGTCCTGCTGCTGTTTTCTAACCCAGAATTTCATATCTGTGTGTATTTCCTTCCAGCCTGAAGGAGCCAGAAACACTTCACAAAACTTTATAGAGGCAGAAATCACTATGCCTAGCACTGAAATGCAGCCACCTCTGGGGACACAGCAGCTGTTTATTTATGCTCAGCAAAACTAACCTGGGATTTAGGGCAGGAACTGAGGATCCTGCTGTTTCATTTGAACTAAAAGGCAACATGACCTTGTCCCTGACCCCACACTGAGTTCCACATGGGTGCAGGGGTCCAGCTGCCTGGAGCTCAGTGCAGGATCAGGGTTACTCATCTGTGGTACAATCCAATCTCATTGGCGTGAGCAAGCTGCGTGAAGGTGTTGTTCACTCACCTCGCCATAGGCTTCATGTTTCTGTGAGAGAGAGAGAGAGAGAGAGAGAGAGAGAGAGAAAAATCAGATCATTTCGATAAAAAAGCATGAGGAGACCTGGCATGCTTCCTCCTCCTGGAGCTGGGCAGTCCTGGCACTCCCCACTAGGAGCAGGGAAAGCGGGAGACAGTAGTTGTATGGTTTAAAAGCAACATACAATAACCCAAGCAGTAGTGACTTTCAGTCCCAGGTGTGAGATACGGAGGTGAGACTACTCCGATTTCTGACACATAGGTTGGGTATCCTGTTGTCCAAGGACAAAGGCCCCGATTCTGCGTATTGTTCTGTATGAGCCCAGGCCTCTGGGTGGGAGCACAGGCCTGTTGGATGGAATAACCTGCAGACTGGGGCCACAGACTGCAGAACTCCTGCAAAGGAGACATCCCCTTTCAAGAAAAGAGAAGGGCTAACTCGCTCTGTCTCCTTTACATGTAGGGTAGCACTTATCACTGGTACACATTTTAAACCATAGAGAATGCAAGAGCGCAGTACATTCGCCTTCCCCAGCTGGGACCGTAGGGCCAGTCCTGCAGAGTCGTCCACTTGGGCGTAATGTTACGCACTGTGCGTAGCGCTGCTACTGTCAAAGGGACGGCACACGCTGCCCAAAGCTGAGCACGTGCATGAGCTTTACGGAGGCAGGGCCGGGAACTGGATTGTATTGAAAACTCTGGTCAAGTTTTGCCCTGTGTTTTCAGTGAGTGACAGTGAAAGGCAAGGTCTTGGCCCCTTTCCCAGTTATTGGTGGTTAGAGAGTGTTTGTGACTGCAGCTTTGTCCTTTGAGATGTTCTAGCCCCCATCACCCCAGGGTCTGGGCACCTCACAATTGGTACTGGACGTCCCCCCCATGAGCAGGGCAGGGCTGTTGTCCTTATTGTACAGATGGGATCTGAGGCACAGAGAGGTGAAGTTACTTGCCCAGGGTCACACAGCAAATCTGTACCAGAGCCAGGACTTGACCCCCACAGCTCTCCCACGTCCTGGGCTAGTTCCCTCATCACAGGGCCATCCTTCCCCTCCGTTGCAGTGTGTGATTTCAATGGACCGACTCCCATGCAGAGCGTTCAGCACGTACATGAGCGTTTGCAGGACAGGCCTTCGAGTGCTATTACGCCAATAAGGTTTTAAAGGATGGATTTATGTCAGACAATACTTGGATAGAACAGAACATCCATGAACTTAATTATGCCGTGCTGTGGCAGCCATGTTAGTTCCAGGATATTAGAGAGACAAGGTGAGTGAGGGAATATCTTTTATTGGACCAACTTCTGGTGGTGAGAGACAAGCTTCTGAGTGCGATATTACCTCACCCACCTTCTCTCTCTCATAGACTTTGTTTGCCAAGGTTTTTTTTAAAGTGGTCCTAAACTTTGGCTCCTAATTCATTATTTGGGCATTTGAATGGGTTACCTGATTTTCATCAGTGTCAAGTACCCAGGAGTTTCCACTGAAAATAAGGGCTGCTGGTTTTGTTAGTTATGAGTTGAAGTGGACTGTAAGACTGTAGTTTTAAATACTAGACTGCATACACTGATCAGTCACATCTAGTGCAGCATGCTGCAAAGAGGGAAGAAGAGGTTAATATTTGGGGGAACACTGATTTTGTGCAAATCTGGGCCCCGATCCTTTCAAGACTTATGGACGTCTGTAGCCTTCCTAGTAAAGTACAAGCGCGTTTGCTGGGGTGGAGAATTGGACACTGCAAACAAAGAAAGAATTAACTAAGCCTTGAACATGAAACCAGTAAGAATCCTAAGGAAGTTTACCAATCATTTTTTAGTCAGACCCTGAGCCTGCAGACACATATGCACATTCTTAACTGCTTGCATCTGAGTAGGGGATCCACTGAACACTTCTTGTGGGTCCATCAGCTGCTGCAATAGCAAACTTTCATTGTAAAAACATGCCCTAGTTGTCAAAGGTGCTGAGTATCTGCTGTTGTCACTGAAGTCAGATCTGGAGGGAGCTCAGCACCTGAACGTTTCTAGCCCTTTATGGCTTTGGAGAAAACCTAACTGTAAATGCTTACAGTGCTCTACCTATCTTGGTATTGAGAGTTTGCCTTGCACAGGGTGCCCAGGTCTTCCTGAGCATTAAGAGAGACCGACAGCATCTAACCTCCTCAGGTCGGTGTGAACTGATCTTCTTACCCCAAGGGGGCAAGAACTCAGTGAAGTGTCAGCCTGGCTAACTACTTCATTTCACTCCAGCAGAGACATCCTGCTCCGAGAGGTTGTGGGAGGGATTTAGGATTGGGGGTGGAGCTTCTTTTCACCCTGACTCCTATTCCGAATAGAGGGAAACTGACAGCAGTGGAGACTCCGCCATTCCCAGAGTGACAAAATGCAGGTTTCAGGAGCTAACCTTCCTCACCCAGGAGAGCGACTGGTGAACTGCAGATTGACCGTTTACATCCCCTCCTCCCACAAAGAGGTATTGGCACCAATTCTAACATTATGAAGTAAAGTAATTCACCATAAAACTGGTGGCTCAAGTCTGGCTTACGGGGCTTCTAGGATATATGGAAGGAACACAGACATGGCAATGATAAAAGGTGATGACTTGGCCCATCATAATCTCTCTCCTTGGGATGATCTGTCAGGGGGAAGGGGGCTCTGACACAAATTTCCCCCCTAAATATTTATTTACCAGCTTATTAAACTGTGTGCGCCAGCTGCTTCAACAGTGCCCAACCTCTGGGCCAGGCCTGGGCTGCACATGCCTTTTGTACTGATTTACCCATTCTGCTAACAGGTGGGAGGGTTAGCGTGGTACAACTGCCTAGTGTGGACACACTTCTACTGGTATAAAGGTGCTTATACCAGTATAGTTTATTCTCCTCATTCCCTGTGGAGTAAGGCTTGGTCTGCAATTAAAAGCCATGTCAGCATAGCTACAGGTGTGAAAAAACACATCCCGACAGCCGTAGCTATGCTGACAGTGCAGACACAACTATGTCGATGGAAGAGTGCTTCTCTCAATGTGGCCAATGTTTTTTGGGGAGGTGGCATTCCTGCACTGACAGAAAAGCTCCTTCTGTTGGTGTAGGTTGTGTCTACATGAGGAGGCTATGCTGGTATGGGCCCCATAGTGTACACATAGACTAAGCAGTACTGGCATAAGCACTTTAATCCTGGTATAACTGCATCCACTAGGGGTTTTGCTGGCTTATCTGTACCAGTACAGTCAGAGCAGTACAACTTTTGTGTATAGACAAGCCCCTGGATCACCTGTCCTTAGTCCCCAATGCCTCTGTCCCATCAGCCCGGTCCAACAAGATCTCTATTGCATCCCTACATGTGTCACATCGGCCTGACCCTGCACCCTCTGGCTGCAGCGTCAGGCTGGAGTTGTGTGCGCCAACGTCCCTTACCATGACTTGGATAATCCGGTCAATGGTGTCCTCGTTCACCTCGATGGCACCTCTCTTGGTGGTGGAATAGTTGTTGCGGTACAGCTCGTGGGGGAGGTTGGCGATCTCCCGGAGACCCTGCTCGAAGATGTTCTGGCTGGGGGCCACTGCAAAGAGCTTGATCCCTGCATCCCGGGCCTTCTCGGCCTGCATCTTCATCCCGCCACAGGGGCTGCCCGTCACATGGCCGTCGGTGATGACCACAGCGAAGTTTACGGCACGGTCTTGGTGGGTCGGGATCTGAGCGGTCATGTTGGATATCGCGCAGTCTGTGAACGTGCCCCGGCCAATGTACCTGATGCCATTCAGCTTGGAGAGGTACACGTCCTTGAGGTTGGTCAAGGCACTGTAAACCTCCACCACGTCTGAGAAGTGAAGTCCCCCGAAATTCCATGTGATGGAGACCTGGTTCTGGTAGACCTCGGTCTCCAGTTTATTGATGAAGGCCGGGATGAACTGCTTCATGTGATCCACCAGACTCTGGATGGGCACAGTCTGCAGGGCAATGCTCTCCGAGGTGTCAATGACAAAGTACACGTTGATGGGGCAGTCTGTCTTCTCTGTATGGAGACAATGGGGCAGATAGCATCAGGATGGGACTGAGTGCGCCACTCAGGCACCAGACTGGGCAGGAAAACCCCCCACAGAGCAGTGAGCACACAGTGTGCAGGAGCACACGACACAGACCTACCCCTTCTGCACATGGAACACCCCTAGAGGGGCTTATGGTGATGGCTCATGGAAATTACTATTGGTTAGAAACCACGTCATAAGAATGGCCAGACTGGGTCAGAAGAAGGTCCATCTAGCCCAGTATCCTGTCTTCCAACAGTGGCCAATGCCAGGTGCCCCAGAGGGAATGAACAGAACAAGTAATCATCAAGTGATTCATCCCCTGTCGCTTATTCCCAGCTTCTGGCAAACAGAGGCTAGGGACACCATCCTGGCTAATAGCCATTGATGGACCTATCCTCCATGAATTTATCTAGTTGTTTTTTGAACCCTGTTATAGTCTTTGCCAGAGGATGTTGTGAAGGTCAAGTGTCCCACAGGTTGACTGTGTGTTGTGTGAAGAAATACTTCCTTTTGTTTATTTTAAACCTGCTGCCTATTAATTTCATTTCGTGACTCCTAGTTCTTGTGTTATGAGAAGGGGTAAACAACACCTCCTTATTTACTTTCTCCACACCAGTCATGAGTTTATAGACCTCTATCATATCCCCCCTTAGTTGTCTCTTTTCTAAGCTGAAAAGTCCCAGTCTTATTAATCTCTCCTCATACGGAAGCTGTTCCATACCCCTAATTATTTTTGTTGCCCTTTTCTGAAAATTTTCTAATTCCAATATATCTTTTTTGAGATGGGGCAACCACATCTGCATGCAGTGTTCAAGATGTGGGTGTACCATGGATTTATATAGAGGCAATATGATATTTTCTATCTATCATTAAGAAAGGGATAGATAGAATTTTTTTTTTTTTTAATTTTCTATCTATCCCTTTCTTAACGATTCCCAACATCAGGGTTGGAAGGGATCTCAGGAGGGCATCTAGTCCAAGCCCCTGCTCAAAGCAGGACCAATCCCCAACTAAATCATCCCAGCCAGGGCTTTGTCAAGCCTGACCTTAAAAATCTCTAAGGAAGGATATTCCACCACCTCCCTAGGTAATCCATTCCAGTGCTTCACCACCCTTTCTAGTGAAAAAGTTTTTCCTAATATCCAACCTAAACCTTCCCCATTGCTCTCCTTCTTACTAGGACATAGAGAATTACCATTAATAGATCCTCCCCTAAGGGATGTCTCTGTCCAAACCACATGCTCCTCCACTCCTGTCGGCTTTTACCACTCAAGAAAGAGATCTTGGAGTCATTGTGGATAGTTCTCTGAAAACATCCACGCAATGTGCAGCGGCAGTCAAAAAAGCGAACAGAATGTTGGGAATCATTAAGAAAGGGATAGATAGAAAATATCATATTGCCTCTATATAAATCCATGGTAGGCCCACATCTTGAATACTGTGTGCAGATGTGGTCGCCCCATCTCAAAAAAGATATATTGGAATGGGAAAAGGTTCAGAAAAGGGCAACAAAAATGATTAGAAGTATGGAACGGCTGCCGTATGAGGAGAGATTAATAAGACTGAGACTTTTCAGCTTGGAAAAGACACGACTAAGCAGGGATATGATAGAGGTCCATACAATCATGCCTGGTGTGGAAAAGTAAATAAGGACGTGTTATTTACTCCTTCTCATAACACAGGATGGGCAGGGATGGTGTCCCTAGCCTCTGTTTGCCAGAAGCTGGGAATGGGCGACAGGGGATGGATCACTTGATGATTGCCTGTTCCGTTCATTCCCTCTGGGGCACCTGACATTGGCCACTGTTGGAAGACAGGATACTGGGCTAGATGGACCTTTGGTCTGTCCCAGTGTGGCCATTCTTATGCTCTTAACAGCTAATTTAGACCCCCATCATTTTATATGTACAGTTGGGATTATGTTTTCCAATGTTCATTACTTTGCACTTATCAACACTGAATTTCATCTGCCATTTTGTTGCCCAATCACCCAGCTTTGTCTACACTGACTTCTTAGAATGGGTTTAGGAGGGAGGTGCGGGGAGGGTCTCAATGGTAACAAAGAACATACACACAAACTGGGCCCACTGTGCTATCTACAATGACATCCCGCCTCCCCCACACATACCCACCCTGACCCCGCCCCCCGCATCTTTCAAGTCTGAGCCAGTATCTGCCCCTCTCATTCGTGTGCGACAGGACAGGTTTACTTCCTGACACCTGACACGGATCTTGCTTCCTTTCTGAAGGCCTGGGCGATCCCCCCGCCTCCCCAGACTGAGCTCCTCATGCCCAGACATCCGCACCCCAGCTCATCCCTCAGAAATGGGAGCTGCATGTGTGCCCTGCCCCACCCACAGGGCAAGGAAACTCCTCGGGGCTTGGTACTGTGCAGCCAGTGCAAAGGAGCAGTGGGGTGCCTCTGAGCAGCCTTTAAAACTGAACCCAGGGGAGTTTTCAGTGTTAATGCTGAATACAGAGGACAGAGGCAGAGAGACAAGTTATCCTGCTGGTACCTGGACAGGCAGCTGGGCGAGGACTGAAGGTTATGTCATCATACTGAGCCTGGAGGGGAACCAGCGTCATGCAAAGAAGAACGGCAAAAAAGGCCGGTTGGGACATCTCAGCCACTCCACTTCACATTCAGCTTCCTGCAGGAGAACAAGCCGAACCCAGGAGTCAGTCAGGGTAATTAGCCACTGGAACAACTTACCAAGAGTCGGGCTGGACTCTCCTCACTGGACATTTTAAAATCAGGAGCAGATGTTTCTCTAATAGTGCCCTCGTCCAAACAGGAATTAATTCCCAAAGTCCCCTGGCCTGTGCTATGCAGGAGGGCAGACTGGATGAGCACAGTGCTCCCTTCGGGGCCTGGAACCACAGCCAGGGCACTGCTAGTAGTGACCCACCAAGCAACGTGCTCTCTGCACAGTCCGGAGCGTGGCTCCACCCTCCTTCATCACAGAGTGGCTGTACCTTGGGGACTCGCAGTTAGGTTTCAGGTCTAACTAATCCAGCTAAGTTATTTTAAACACCCCTCTTCTTGGAGTGTGGCTGGAAGTTGTTTTTAAGCGGCTTTTACCTCATGCCAGATGGGTGGTTGCTTCCCCAGCCCGTGTTGCTCCAAGGGAAGGGGTCTAGTGGCCAGCGCAGCAACGTGAGAGTCAGGCTGTCCTGACTGCATTGACTCGCTAGGTTCACGCTGGTTCCCCAGTGTCACTCCATTGGGTCCAATAAGGCTATTTCTGACTTACAGGGATGTGAGATCAGCATCAGAGCCATTGTCTGGCCTCGTGCCAATCACTTAGCCGTTTCCTCCCCTGGGAATCGGGATACCATGCCCATAGCTTCCTACCTGCCAGCAGGGTGCTGAGAAAACAGTCATGGCTGCAGAGTGCTTGAGGGGTTCGGATGAGAGTTGCGCCAAGTATTCCGAGACCCCCAAATCCTCCAGTATTACCCCTCAGCCCTTTGGGCCCCATCCTGAGCCCCAGGACTGGAGCCAGCACTCAGAGAGCTCTGCCTATTAAAGAAATACTTAAGGTGTGCTCACAAAGCGAAATCAGCGCCGGTTTGTTTAGTTTGCAGGGAAGCGCCGTGGAGGACGATGTTGCTGTGCAGTCTGGGGCCAGTCATTGGAGCACAGGCTGGCTCAAGAATTAGCTGATTATCCCTGGCCCCCACCCCCAGCTGGCCAGGGACTGCCTCTGTGTGACCTATGTGGATGTGTTATTCCTTGACTTTAGCAAAGCTTTTGATACGGTCTCCCACAGTATTCTTGCCGGCAAGTTAAAGAAGTATGGGCTGGATGAATGGACTGTAAGGTGGATAGAAAGCTGGCTAGATCGTCGGGCTCAACGGGTAGTGATCAATGGCTCCATGTCTAGTTGGCAGCCGGTTTCAAGCGGAGTGCCCCAAGGGTCGGTCCTGGGACCGGTTTTGTTTAATATCTTTATTAATGATCTTGAGGATGGTGTGGATTGCACTCTCAGCAAGTTTGCAGATGACACTAAACTGGGAGGCGTGGTAGATACACTAGAGGGTAGGGATCGGATACAGAGGGACCTAGACAAATTAGAGGATTGGGCCCAAAAAAACCTGATGAGGTTCAACAAGGACAAGTGCAGAGTCCTGCACTTAGGACGGAAGAATCCCATGCACTGCTACAGACTAGGGACCAAATGGCTAGGTAGCAGTTCTGCAGAAAAGGACCTAGGGTTCAAGTGGACGAGAAGCTGGATATGAGTCAACAGTGTGCTCTTGTTGCCAAGAAGGCTAATGGCATTTTGGGCTGTATAAGTAGGGGCATTGCCAGCAGATCGAGGGACGTGATCGTTCCCCTTTATTCGACATTGGTGAGGCCTCATCGGGAGTACTGTGTCCAGTTTTGGGCCCCACACTACAAGAAGGATGTGGAAAAATTGGAAAGAGTCCAGCGGAGGGCAACAAAAATGATTAGGGGTCTGGAGTGCATGACTTATGAGGAGAGGCTGAGGGAACTGGGATTGTTTAGTCTCCAGAAGAGAAGAATGAGGGGGGATTTGATAGCTGCTTTCAACTACCTGAGGGGGGGTTCCAGAGAGGATGGAGCTCAGCTGTTCTCAGTGGTGGCAGATGACAGAACAAGGAGCAATGGTCTCAAGTTGCAGTGGGGGAGGTCTAGGTTGGATATTAGGAAACACTATTTCACTAGGAGGGTGGTGAAGCACTGGAATGGGTTCCCTAGGGAGGTGGTGGAGTCTCCTTCCTTGGAGGTTTTTAAGGCCCGGCTTGACAAAGCCCTGGCTGGGATGATTTAGTTGGGAAATGGTCCTGCTTTGAGCAGGGGGTTGGACTAGATGACCTCCTGAGGTCCCTTCCAACCCTGATAGTCTATGATTCTATGATTCTATGTGCAATGAGAAGGATCCTGAGTCCAGCTCACAGCAGACAGGGCTCACAACAGCACAGACAGGCATCAGCCCACGTGGCAATTTGCTGCCCCCTATTGGAGAAGCCAAGGAGTGGATGGGCATGGTGAGAGATTGCCTCTCGCCCTTCGAGCAGAGGGCTGGGTGCACTAGCAGCGTGGGGCGGGGAAGTTCCACTAGCCATGGCCTCTTCTGCACCAGGATGAATGATGCTACTAGAAGAGTAGTGCTGGCTTGGAGCTGCTGGTGTGTACCCAGAGCCTTCTCTCCTCTGTGTACACACACTCCCGTGACACATATGGCACAGCAGTGCCCCCCAAGAGCCCCAGGACAAACCACCTGGCATTTGTAACCAGAGCTTTCCCCTGGGACTGGCCTGCTCCCATCAGAGTCGCTGTATGAGCAGCAGTTAAAGCAGCTGGGGTCCTCACCCCATCACAGCCCCCACCCACCCCTCCCCCCAGCCCACCTCAGTGCACCCCTGCCCCACCTCAGGTGGTACCATTACATCTGCTTCCCCTAGCCTCCCATGGGGGCAGCGTGTTCCCCAGGCCCACATGCCAACAGGACTGCCGGTCACTGAATGGGTGCTGTCCCCTGCCCTGCCCCTGGATCCCGTGGAGGGTTCTCTGCTGAGTCCAGGACCCACGTGGAGGTAGTGAGCAGGTTGGGGAGGTGTGGGCGAGCGGGGTGGGGGACACACACTGACCCTCCCCCAGGCAGCCCCGCAGAGAGGTGCCAGGAAGGTCATATCGCCTGGGCTGTATTACCTACTCTGGCCCACGTAGGTGCCCGGACAGTCTGGCCTGCAGGGGCTAAAGGAGTGATTCGGCAGAGTCCATGAGGGGACCCTCTCAGAGCTTCCCCCGACCTCCCCTCCTCCAAAGTCTGGGAGTCAGAAGTGAGACATCCCTGCTGGTGATAGAGACAGGAGGGAGCAGCCCTGGGACTCGCCAGCCCTGGCTTCATGTCCACGGAGTGGATGCGGAAGGCCTCAGCCTGTGCTGTGACCCTCTCCCTGCATGTGGTTCAGGCCTCACCTCAAGCGATCTATGGAGACTTGAGGGGGCACGTGCAGGAGCAATGCACTGTACGGTGCTGCATGGGAGCCCAGGAGCTCACCCATCCACACCTGTCCTAGGTTGCCCTGTTTGTTTGCAGCAAGCCCTAATGGCCAAGCAGTGGCCTGGCAAGGACGGTGGCCATGCAGGAGACTGCCGGGTCTGCGCTTGCAGGCAGAATGGAAAAACACCTCTCCCTCCCCTGAACTCCTCCTGGCAAGAGAGCAGCTCCACCCACCAATTGAGATGATCCCCCACAAGTCTTGTTGCACACGATCACATCATTCAATCATTTGTCCCCGCTGCCCTTCCCTACAACAGTGGGGAGACCCTGGCTGGTGGAGTGTGGAGTCCAGTGAAATGTGGCAGTAATTTCACAACGAGGGATACAGATTCCCTCTGCTCACAGACCAGCGGGACACCAGCCAGCAGACATGACAGACCTTCTGTCCCATCCTTGAGAGTGGAGACAGCCGGCAGATCCCCTAGCATGCCAGAAGGGCCAGCTCAGTGCCCCAGAACCTCCCTGCATAGCCAGGGTCCCCCATACCACTCTGGTCCACTCACCCAACTGTGAGAGCTGGGAGCATCAGCAGGTGAGAATCCCCATCTTGTGTACCTACTACACTGAAGATCTACATGGCATCCCTGAGAGAGGCCTGAGTATCTCACTTGCCTGAGGTGCCCCTAGCAGACCTGAGCAAACCAGCCCCAGTGTCTGGGCTAATACTGTATGGAAGCAGCAGTTAATGCCTCCAGATGTGTTTCGCTCACAGAAAGATAACTATTCCCATGTGCATCATCCCGCCGATGGCAAATGTACAATAACGTTTCACACTCCATATTCCTCCTTGAAGAACCATCCAGGCCCATGGTTTTCATGGCAGTGGCTATGGGTTGTGTTGAGTGTGTGGAGAAGCAGGATATGTGCACTGGAGTATGTGATCTCGGGGTACAACCCTGAGACCTGTGGCCTGTGCCTGGGTCTGCAGTCACATAGGCACCCTCCGTTCTAGCTCTGTCCAAGGCACTAGGGTTTCTTCTGAAAATCAAGTAAGATAAAACTAGGAGACATCTGTGCCCCCGTCTGTAACAAATGCGCAGGCAAATGCCTTCCTCCTGCCCTCACACACACACAGGCTGGGCTCGCTCAGTGCGAGTGCCAGGAGTTTCAGTGTGTGTCAAACAATCTGCTTAGATCTTTCCCTTAGTGCTCAGTGATCGGTTCCCAGGCAGATCACCCACTGTAAAGGCTTCCCCTCCATTGCCTGGCACCCAGCTCTACCCCGTCTATCTTACTGCAAGCACCACGGGACTTCATGCAGCGCAGATAGCGCGGGAAGGAGGTGGCAAGAGGCCTGGGAATGTCATTTTGTGAGGGAGGAACAATCTCAGTCTGGGTGCCATTTTCACTTGTGCGGAAACGGCACCTCTTCCAGGGGATGGCTTCTACTGCCATGTTAACCACACCCATCAGCGAACTGCAGCACTAGTGAACCAGCCACACGCACATTTCACTGTGCACAGATAAAGTAGTGTGCATGAAATCAGAGTACACTCCTTAAAGCCCTCAGCCCGAACAAAGCAAGTTACGCATACCCTAGCAATAACACTGAGCCCTGTTCAAACCCTGCCGGTTACCTCTTCACATAAAATTGACAGGCTTGTGAAATTCAACAGACCAAAACGCCCGATTTCTGTGAGGAGCAAAGAGAATCTTGTACTCGTGTGTCATTCAAAGTCAAAGAGACGCCCTTGGGTCTAATAATTCAGGCTTTGTAGCAGCATCAACATTCTGGTACTGTTACAGTGGGCCAAGTTTGTCCCTCAGGTAATGCCACTGGCTTCAATAGAGTTACACTAGGGATTAATTTGGCCCAACAAGTTTTAGTGACTTACTAGCCCCTTGGCCGTGATGCCTGAAACTTGAGTTCATATACAAGGGACTGAACTTTCCTTGGGTCTTGTGAGGAGCAGAAGCTGCAGAATCTCTCCCCAAAAGGTTTCCTTCAGAAAGTGGTCTCATTAACAATTATTCTAATCCCAAGAGAGTTTGTTGCCCAAAATATCCACACATGCAAATCTCTGAACTATCCAGCAGCTCAGAGAGATAAGTGAAATATAGATTTGTTTACTGTGTCTAGTTTCTAAAAGCAACATGCCTAGAAAGTCTACTGTATCAACTTGATCAAGAGTTCACAAAAAGCAGCACTGGATGAGTTATATGCACAAACACAACCTGAAGATAAAAAGGTTAGTTTCCCCGTTCACATCTGCAGCAGCTTCAAAAGAAGCAGGAAGGTTTATGGCGATATTAAATGGTGAAGCAAGAGTCTTTGCCTACCTGAAAACAAGATTGAAGTTTCCTCCAGAAAGTCGCGTCAGGAAAAGAAGAGAAAAGTCTTGGAATCTTTGTGTTAATAAGGCTTCTGCATCTTTGGTTGGAAGGGTTGGATTTCTTTTCTTAGAGTTTTTGGTGTCTATTTTTGATGAAGAGAAGGGATCAGTTAGGAGTGGCAGAGGCTTCTCCAGCCGAGAGCCTCTGTTCTCTGGCAAAAAAGAAACTGCCTACTTTATAATTCTCCTCCTTCAACTCTGTCTGTGACAGAGGCCAAAGATGTCCTTACTCCAAGTATCCACACGGTGTCACTGCAGATCCATCGAAGCCCTACTAGGCTAGGCTGGGGAGTGGGAATCACCCTCCAATCCCTACTCCTTTTCCTGGGGGTGTCTGGAGTGGGGCAGAGGGAAGCTGTAATGTTGCAGTTAGGAGATTATTTAAAAAAAAAAACGGAAGAGGAAATCATGTTTTTCCAAGCACAGGAGCTCTCTCTGTGCCTGCCACATGGATTTCCACCACTCACTCATGTTACTCCTCTTCCCCCCATTTGTAACCTATCTTGAGGAGAATGCATAAAATGGACTGGCACATTTCAAAACAGGAAGGGCTCAGACTTCAGCTTCCCACAGCCTTCACAAATATTCACCTCTTACTCAGGGACCCTGGCAACCTCCTGGCCAGGAAAATGTCCTGATCCAACCCCCATTAATGTCACTAATGCAAAGACAAACACAATAGGGTGAATGGCAGCGCCAGCGTCCTCGCATCGTCCTAGGCCCTCCCCACCCATGGACACTGCCCTGAACTGACCTCTCAATCTAGGGCTGGGGGAGCAGGTCACTCTCCAAACCCATTCAGCCCTTGGCCTCTTGGCGGGATCTGCCAGTCGTGGTGCTGGGTTAGTAGCCTGTGCATAGCTCTCACAGGCCAAGCCCTGGTGGGTTCCAAGTACAAGCCAGACCCATCATTTTAATGAAAACCCATGTTACTATTTGTTTTCCTAATCTGATTTTTGCTTCTTCCCTGCTACTGTAACTGCCCCATGCCCAGTGTGCCCCATGCATTTCAGTTCAACAATCTAGCAGTCCTGATTTACCGATGAGTCATTCACTCTACAGTACTGTACATGGAAAAGCCCCACATGGAAAAAGAGCCCCTGCATGTAATTTTCCAATTATTTTCCATATACTTATGTGGTTCTCAAACTGTGATGTAGGGACTACCAAAGGTCACAGAGTCCTTCGTGGTGGTCCACGGAATGGAATATTTGAGAACCAAGCAGTGAGGTGGGCTGCTGGCTCATGATAAGGTCTTTCTTTCCCAGAATGCTCTGCAGAGTGGAAAACTTGGAGAACCCTGGAGGCAGGACTTCGGGTACAGTTATATATGGGCAGTTTCCTTTTGTGAAACACATATGGTATGAAACTACGTATGCTTGAAATAATAATACAAATAAATAACAACAACAACAACAACAACAAGGAATGTGAATTTAGAATATAAATGTGCTACTCTAGCTTTTCCAAAGCTGTAGAAATCTTGAGAAATTACAGAGTGGAAAAAGCAGGGAAAGAAGAAAAGAAAACCCCAAGATATAATTCATTCTATGGTGTTCAGTGGTGGAAAACAGAAAGAAGAAAACATAAACATCCAAAATTTTCAAAGTTTTCAGTTTTTGAAAATTGCATCAAAATAAAAACCTGTTTCAAATTTTTCCAGCAAAAATTGAAAGTTTAAGCCAAAACATTTCAAATGAATTAATCTTTCAACCAACTCTAAGATAGATAGATTTTGATGACTCCCTTCCCATCTGGTATCTGACTCATTACATACCATGAAAAATATACTCAATCCACGCATGTACAATGTAGGCCAAATTCTGCTCTTGGGGTATGTCAACAGGATCCTAGCAAGGATAGTTGGGACCAAGGGTCAGAGCAGGGTCAAACCTGAGGCTGGGAGTAGCAGAGAAGTTCATAGTCAGGTTCCAGACCAGGGTCAATACCAAGCACAGTCAACCTGTGAAACTCCTTGCCAGAGGATGTTGTGAAGGCCAAAAGTATAACAGGGTTAAAAAAAAGAACTAGATAAGTTCATGGAGGATAGTCGATCCATGGTTATTAACCACGTTGGGCAGGGATGGTGTCCCTAGCAGAAGCTGAGAATGGGTGACAGGGGATGGATCACTTGATGATTACCTGTTCTGCTAATTCCCTCTGAAGCACCTGGCATTGGTCACTGTGGGAAGACAGGATACTGGGTTAGATGGACCTTTGGTCTGACCCAGTATGGCCATTTTTATCAGAGGTCGAGTCAGGTTTCAGGGTCCAGGTTAGGAGGCAAAGTCCAAATCAAGCCAAAGTCGAAGCCTGACGCTCAGGAGCAGGAAAGGTCAAGGCAGCTATTGGAGATCGGTACTGATGTTTGAACACTTCCTGGAACACCCCTTGAGTTTATATAGGGCAGGGAGCCAATCAAGAGCCATGAGGCTGCTGCCTGTCAGACCCCTTGAGGCGGGACTTCCTATAGTCTGTGTCCACAGCAGGTCATAGGCAGTGGAGCGCAAGCTGGTTATAGCTACTGCAGGGTGGCAGCATGGACATGTCTACTACCTGGCAGCTCTGCAGGCCCAGGCTCTAGACCTGCTGGCCCTTACATTACACTACCTACACAGAAGGCTACCATGAGGTTAGGGGATGGGCTCCTAAGATCCCCTTTCTAGGTCATTGTCCTCCCAGTCTCTGAGGTACCATAGGAAGCTGTGACTGATTTTTGATTCCAGTCTCTCCTGGACCTCATACTCATCATGTCCTTGGACCTGTACCAGAGAGGGGGGTGGTTGAGCCCAGTGAGCAAAGCCGTTGTCAATGTAGGGTTAGCAAGGATACATGAAACATTGGGTGTATTTTGAGGGACCTGGGTAACTGAAGCTTCAGGTCACTCGGCTGATTACTTGGCTTACAGAACACGTGCTGAGGTATGGGAGGTCCATTTTACAACATGGCTATTTGGTGTGGCGGTTTTGGGCTGAGAACCACCCTTTTTGCCCGATGCTGCAAGCCTGGCCTTCCCAGTGCTGTTGGTCATATACCACTTGTAGTCTTCCTTGGCCTTGTCCAGATGGGTCTTGAGTTCTTCTTGGACCTCCTGAATCTGTTGCACCCAGTCAGCAGCTGCGGGATTGGTGGAGCAGACAGGTGTGGCCAGGTGGAGATGGGGGTGAGAGCCACAACTGGCACAGAACAGACTCTGCCTGGTGGAGACATGGTCGGTGTTGTTCTAAGCAAACTCTGTTTGGAGTAGAAGGTTTGACCAGTTGCCCTTGTGAAGCAGCACAAGTATTGTTCTAACTCTTGATTCACCCGTTCGGAGTGACTGTCAGTTGGGACATCTGTATATTACCTTAATACAAATAATATCACCTGGATCGATCGGTTTTCAGCTGTCGTTAAGACTGCGCCGATCACAACATGTCCGCCATTCTTCTCGCATTCTTGCCTTTCTTCTCCACGTTCATCCGAAACGTTTTACAATGTCATCTTCCCATCTTCTTGGAGGCCGACCAGGTGGTCTTTTCTGTTCTCACGGGTACCACTCAATAATGATTGCAGTCCACCTATTGTCCGTGAACCGTGCTATGTGGTCCGCCCATCGTATCTTATTATATCTGCTTTCCACAACAATGTCTTTCACACCGCTGTGTTCTCTAATCGTTTCATTTGGGATATGATCCAGAAGGGAAATTCCCAACATAGCTCGTTCCCTTGCCCTTTCAGCTACCAACAGCTGCTGTTCTTCTCTCTTCGTCAGTGCCCAGGTTTCACTGCCATACAGCATGGCTGGCAAATAATATATGATATTATGTAATCTATTGAGTTTATAGCTGCTGAAAAATGCAAACTTTGAGATATGAATTGGGGCCTCATGTGAGGATCCATGTATACCTGTACTGGGTACCAAGCAGCCTCCAGATAGTGGTGCCACACTTTGAAGGTCACTTTGATGGCTAGAAGCTCCTTATCTAGAATTTCATAATTCTGTTCACCTGGAATGAGCTTCCAAGAACAGTAGGCGCAAGGGTGAAGGTGCTGTGTCTTTGAGCGAGTATGGTCCCAATTGCCACACTGGAGGCATCTGTCTCAGTGATGAAGGGTCATGCCAGGGCAGGGTGGACCAGGATCAGGGCTCTGATAAAGGTCATCTTGAGCTGGTTGAAAGCTTGTTGGGACTCTGGAGACCAAGTGAAAGTAATGCTTTTGCACAGATGTGCTGTCAATGGGGTGATTTGGCTTGAAAACCCAGAGATGAAGTACCTTTAACAGTTAGTGAACCCCAGGAAGCATTGTAGTTCCTTGATGTTTGGGGGGGATGCCCAGGTTCGCACTGCCTCCATCTTCTTCGGGTCCATTCAGAGACCATCGGGGGACAGGATGTAGCCCAGGAACTCCATGGAGTGCTGGTCAAAGCTGCACTTTTCCAGCTATGCATCCAGACTGGACGTGTTGATTGTGTAGCATGAAACCCTCAGAAAACATGAGGATACCATCTAGGTAGACTACCATGTATCGGTCTTGGATGTCACGGAAGGCCTTGTTTATGAAGTATTGGAATGTTGCAGAGGCATTTGTGAGGCTAAATGGCATTACCAGGTATTCATAATTGCCATAACACATTCGAAAAGCTATCTTCCACTCATCCCTGCTTCAGATTCAAACCAGGTTGTAGGCCCCCCATAGGTCAAGTTTTGTGAATATATGGGCCAATTGTACATGGTCCACTAGTTCCAGGATGAGTGGAAGGTGGTATATATTCCTGATGGTACCCTGATTGAGGGCCCAGTTTTCCATGCATAGACTCAAGCTTCCATCTTTCTTTTTAACAGCAGAACTGGGGCCCTGTCGGGTGAGGTAGATGGCCATATGAAGCCCTTGGCCAGATTATCCTGGAGACAGGAATGCAGGGCAGTCAGCTCAGGTTCTGACATTGCGCAGATACAGCCAAAGGGCACCTTGGCACCTGATTGCACTCGACTGGGCAATCATAATCCTGGTGTGGAGGTAGGGTGTCAGCATCCTTTTTCTTGAAGACATCACCATAGTCACTGTACTTGTGGGGCAGTGCTGGAGTCAACTCTGATGGTGTTCCCACCTGAGTCACAGCCAGGTCCTGGTGGTGCACATCTTGTTTCTGGGGCTCATCAGATGGTGCATGCAGACAGACTTGCTGGCAGAACTTGGAGCAAAAGCTAACCTGGTGC